AGTATAATCATGTGAACATGTGATACATTATATATTGATCACGTATAGTCATGTAAACATGTGATACATTATTGATCATGAAAACAAATACTAAAAGACAGCACATTTACAATAAAACCAAACTGCAGGAGATAATAAATACTTTTTATTGATTAGTTGAACAGAGTTTGATTGACAGCATGCTGTATGTATTAAGGCACATGAAGCTATGAGGTCAGAGGTTTTCTTCTTCCTTTGACACATTAATTATAAAACACCTGAGAAGGTGAGACGCCACGTAACAGAGAACAAAACTAAACGATTCAGTCCCATCAGGAGGGAGCTCACCTGGAGAGAAAAATATAACAATGCTGACATTGAACCTGACACACAAGTCACAGGTCACACAGTCATTGACCCGTCAGGTGACCCACCCGTCAGGAGGTCAGAGGTCACAGCAGTAGGAGTCAGTGCTCAGTTCCTTCAATCAACTTTTATTCTGTTTCTTCTTCTGAACGAGCTCTGCTAGCATCTTGTAACGAATCATACACTCCTCCTGAAAAACAAACACACAGATCAGTTAAATGTTCATTCAATTATTATTATTATTATGTTACAATAATAATAATAATTCAGTTGTAGGGCTCAAATCTACTGGGGTTAGGGTTCATTCTTCTATTGGGGGTGTGTGTGTGTGTGTGTGTGTGCGTGCGTGTCATTTATAGAGCCGCCGACCTGTGGACCACCGGAAGGAGAGCATTGGGGTCGAGTAATGTGAGCTGACAGGTAAGGACAGGATCTCGGGAGGTGGAACATCATTAACTAGATATAGTTGGGTTCACATTCAGAGGGGCTGGACTCCTTTTCAGGGTTCTCCAGGGTGAGAGGTGTGGAGAACCAGAGTGTCGCCTCTATAAAACTGTGAGTCTCTGACTATTGTTTGAGTACCCGGTCTTCTTGGAGTCTCTGGGTGGCATTCTAGAGAGTACCGATGGAGAACCCTGGAGATGATTGGGAGGAACGGACTGATCTGGGTGTGGGAAGAGTTTGGGGAGACTATGGAGAACAAGGAAGTTCTGGCACATCGTTAGATGACTCATGAAGGAAAGGCAGGGATTGGTTCTGGCTCAGACATGAAATACACGTTTTTAACACTTTGGAGGCTTCCTGCTGCAACTTCTAATTCCAGACAATGTTTCCTCACAACCGACATGAAAAGACAACGAGGTGAACCGTCATTGGTCAGTTAGTTATTGGTAGAGAGCTGATGGGTCATCAATCAATCCCAGCTTCATGTGTAAGTAAGTCCGAGTCTGAACGAAGAAGATACACCAGAACTCACGTCTCCAATGACGACTTTGTGCAACTCAATGGGTTTTGTCTCAGATGAAATGACTACATTTAAAACCCGTTTGGTCTCCAGATGTTCTTCTAGTTAACCATAAGTCTGTCTCATAGCTTCTGTAACATCTCTTTCGTGGTTATATAAAGTTAGATAACCAATCAATGAATCAGCCATCAGGTCTACCTGGTTACCTGCCTACAGAGAGATGGTCTACCTGCCTACAGGTAGACGGTCTACCTGCCTACAGAGAGACGGTCTACCTGCCTACAGACAGACGGTCTACCTGCCTACAGAGAGACAGGTAGACCGTCTACCTTTCTACCTGTCTCACCTTAGTCTTCCCAGGGACCACCTTGGCGATGCGATCCCAGCGCTCTGCTGTTCCTCTGGGAAACTGCTGCAGAGCGAGTTCCAGCAGCTTCTGTTGATTCTGAGTCCAGATTGTGGGTTCCACTTTGTTCTCCTGAGGCTCCGCCTCCTCCTCCTCCTCCTTCTCCTCCTCCTCCACTGATGCCGTTGGGTCAAAATCTCTCTGCCGACGACCTCTGACTTTAAGCTCCTCTCCCTCTGCTGCTGACTTCCGGTTCCTCCTCCTGACAGCTGGAGCTGCTTCTTGTTCTTCTTCCTCTTCCTCCTCCTGCTGCTGCTCACAGGCTCCTCCCACTCTCTGAGTCATCAGCTTGTCAGGAACCGGAAATGACCTCACAGGAAAAAGAGGTCCCTTCAGATCCGACAGCTTCACCAGACCTAAAACACAGACACCAAGGTTAACTAGACCCGATGGTAGAACCTTGGAAGAACAGGAGAACCTGATACCGACAGCAGAACCCGATACCGACAGCAGAACCCGATACTGACAGTAGAACCCGATACTGACAGTAGAACCCGATACTGACAGTAGAACATGATAATAACAGTAGAACCTGATAACAACAGTAGAACATGATACTGACAGTAGAACATGATAATAACAGTAGAACCTGATACTGGGGCTGGGCGGTATACCGGTTCAACCAGTATTAATTTCCCGTATGATATGAATTTTTCATATACCATCATACCGGTGCACAGCCGAAACAACTTCTGTCGCTCTTCAACAGGCAGCAAAATATATATTGTTCGCAGCTGGTAGTGTTACGGTCGGAGCTAGTCCTCTTACCTGTATTGAGAGGGAACCCTAGTCATGGTCATAACTTTATAATAACAATTAACAACCCACAACTAACGCTCTTTAACAGGGCAAAACACCACGACACAACAGTTTGTGACACAAACAATTTGCAGCACTAATAATTGTACATTTGTAAAATTTCACCGCCGAACTGCATGCTGGGTAAAGCTCGCTAACAACAGTCTGCTAACAGCTGGGAGAGGCTCTGTCGCTCCAGTAACGTTACATTAAAGAACAGAACAATGCAGGATGAACACTGACTGAACAACAAAAGGTATTTAGGTCAGATACATATGCAACGCTGATTACCGTAATATGTGTAGTATTTGTTATAAATGTACGTTGGTACATGGAGGGTGATAAGAAGGTGTACATGGAGGGGTTTCTTCTTCTTTAAATTCCATTGGCGGATCGCAACCAACTTGCATAGGTGCATACCGCCACCTAGTGTACCATAGTGTGCATTTTCAGGGTAACCTTTTCTTCACTGTTCTGATCATAAAATAAAATAAATAATAAAATAGAAGAATGTATATATATAT